ACATTTTGTGAAGTTTCTTTTTGACTCCAGTATATTTATGTTATAAAAAGAATCCTGTCTGGATAGACCTTCCAGTGGTCAACAGCAAATCTACAACTGGGATAATGACATGTGCTACTCGCATCTTACGACAATATGGGTTGGTATATCGTAATGTGTCGTATTACACCTCCCCAACCTCTTCGTGTCTGGCATCCAAACCCCTCGCACACTAATGTGCATGTAGAAGAATTTAGTCTCCTCCTCCTAATGGGTTGTTTAAATCCATTTTTATAAATTCAAAAAAGACAGTTGTTTCTATATCTACTTTGTGTGGTTGCCGTGGGATGATCGTGGTATGTCACTTCTTTCAGTTTGCGGGATGAGATAACGGGTCGACATTGTCTTCAAGAATGAGTTTCCTGACACCTCAGCTGTGAGTGAGTGAGTGAAGTTCGTTTTACGCCGCACTCAGCAATATCCCATCTATATGGCGGCGTTCTGAAAACACATTAAGTAATGCCTAAATTGTTTTTACGGAAATAATGAAAGTGTCGGAACAGTGATCAGTACTGCTGATTGGAGTTCGATATATCGATCCTGAAGGGGCGGCACACTCGAGACTGACAAGCAGCGTGGTACATTGAAATATCATAACAAATCAATACTTCTCGGCCAGTGAAATACATATCAATAACGGCGAGAGACTGATAGCTGAGCGTAAGTCAATATGTACACAGTCAGCATGAGTACATTTGTAGTCGGATATTGTGAATGTATCCGTCTGTATTAGCAGTGATTCTATATTTGGTTTATGAGTACTATTGACGGAATATCAAGGACATGCAGACATAACCTGTGAATGTTCCTGCACGCAAAATGTTATTTGCGCTACAACGCAGGTTTAAAGCCTCTGTCTCTCTATATACCTATTTTTAACATTTTTCAAACATTCACTTTGAAAAGGCTGGCTCAGTTTCCAGAAACCTTGTCCCTAGTTTCCTAATAGGCTTCAAAACGAAACCGATGAAACCAAAAGACCCTTCAATGGCACAGATGAACAAATTCAGAGGCACATAGGTTAGTGACACCATTTGACCATGACGTCATGGTAACCGATGACGATACAATGCTCCGAATTAATGCAGTGTGTTTCAAGACTGGTAACTGCACTTAGACTTGAAGTGTTCAGACTTGAAGTAGTTCCATGTTAACTCAGGCAATGAGCATTTCAGAAGCCACGAGTGAGAATAGCTCAGTACTCATCCTTAACTCCCCGCCCCCTTCCCACACACACCACCTCTCACACACCCCATCCTGTTATATCTGGATTGCCACATCACTGCCACATAGCAATATCTATATACTATTAACAAGCTCACTGGTATATTATGTGCGCTTCATAATTTGTTTGATTTCGATTTTCCTGCAAAAACACATTTACGTTTATTCTTTTACTCATTGTGAGGACATCAAAGCATTGGAGCTGACAAGACATTGGACATAGACCTACACAGGCTTTTGTCATAGATGTCTATTAACATAACATCAACTGTCTTATGTATCAAGTTGTTTTGTTTAAGGGCCATGCTCGCGGGATATCACGCTTTGTAAATCTCATTGCTTTACAATAAACAAACAAGAACAGATAAATAGATTAGAGGGTATCTGATTAACACACCAAATATAATACACAAGAAAGTATGAAAATGAACACGGTATCCTTATATAACATATGGCATATATATTAAGGTATCCTTGTAGTTGTCTCCCTTAGATCATATAGCATCAGTGCATGTTGACGTGCAGGTGGCCGTTCCAAGCTCAAAACACGTAAATATTTGAATTTTCCTATGATGATTTGAAGCTTCACAGTCGATCAGTAATTAGATCTGAATAAGTTTCATCTAAATATTTGTTAGCAGAATCCATTGTCTGTCTCTCTCGTGTCTCTCTTTCTATCTATCTATCTATCTATCTATCTATCTGTCTGTCTGTCTGTCTGTCTGTCTGTCTATCTATCTGTTGTCCTCTCTCTGTTGTCTCTGTTGTCTCTCTCTGTGTCTCTCCCACTACAGGTAATTCATATAAATTTTCCCCGTCAGGAAACTCTCTCTAATCTCTCTCTCTCTCTCTCTCTCTCTCTCTCTCTCTCTCTCTCTCTCTCTCTCTCTCTCTCTCTCTCTTCTCTCTCTCTCTCTCTTCCCTCTCTCTAACTCTCTCTCTCTCTCTCTCTCTCTCTCTCTCTCTCTCTCCACTACAGGTAATGTCATATAAGTACTAACCCTCCAGACAACCGGAAACCCAACCCAATCAAATACCACCGTGGGTTGGAAACATCCCCGATCCGTCCACACGTACTTATATATAATGTTATTTACATCAGAGGCTAAAATGGTTACGGCAAATGGCATCTGCCATGTGTTCTATATCTCAAGCTGGTTAATGTAGTCAGTCGTTAATCAGAACGCGGTAACAAGTGTCCTATAATATAATCATACAGACATCCTCCACGAGAGGCCGGTCGTAACGACATTACCGGTGTTAACAGCATTACCGCACGGAGGCAGGGATTAAAAAAGGGGTAATATTACTTAGCACCTTTTATGAAGTCTATAAAGGATATGTCTGGAATAAGCATTTATCCAATAAAGACCTGAGCCTTATTCTGTAAGAACACACAAAGTTCATATCTGGACAATATGACATCGTGTTGACGAAAATACAGTCCGACATATTGAGATCTCAGAGACGATTGCTGTTTGTACTCGACTGAGTGATCGCGATGTGGTTTAAAATATTGTGATGTTGTAAGGGAACTGGAGGTGTAGGTTTCTGAAAACAATTCTGATGTATCATGCCCGATGTGAGGCACGGCGTCGAAAATCGATTGACATGCCAGGATCCGATTACCGTGAGTTCGAATCTAAAACTTTCGTGGGCTCCGCGTCAAACATCTACATCGCTTTACGTTTTCCTCCCCATCAACAACTGAGTGACAAGTCTTAACTCGGACTTAACTGATGTTTGAAGCGGTGCAAAACCCAACCCGTTATGGACTCCCAGTTTCAGGAAATATTCCAAGAATATTTATAGAACTCCGCATTACAAGGCGATTCTTTGAGCATTAGGCCTTCCAACCGCACCATTATCAAATGATTCTTTGTATTCTTTGTTTAGTACACTGCAGGGCAACATAAAATACATAGATGCAAATTCGTTTTCACCAAAAATTACAATTGTTATCAATACGCTACAGGGTTAAAACAGTAGTTGAAAAGTCCAGAACATAACTGTAAAACCCATATGAAGTACTTTACCATCAAATAACCATTTGTTGTTTTGATATATAACCATTAGATATATCCATAACATGTTGAAATACCGTGTACACACATTCAACATACCCGTTCCTGGAGATCTTTACTTTCCACCAGCTGTGTCGTCAAGCCATTTTCCCTTGTCCCACATGGTATTAGATATCTACTGGTAGTTTAAGCAGTGCTGAATAACGTTATCTTTTGTGATTAGTGAACCGTTTTTAACGGATCGACATCTGAAATCACCCGGGCGATGTATTCATTTTAAGTGAATGAGTGAGTAAGGTTTCACTCTACTGTGAATAAAGTTTCAATTGAATTACGACATGTCAGCTCGACTGTAGACGACAGACCGACGTGGTTTGGATTGTAAGTGAGGAAAAACCGTTATCAATAATTTTCACGCAGAAAGTCTGTGTAAATAACACTAATCTTATCCATCAATATAAATATTTTCCCATTTCATACCTGCGTGCTAGATATTTCATAACGTGAATAAGAAAATTGTGCATTAAAACAAATAACATTTATGTAAACAGTGGCGTTGAAATGTGAATGAATCACAAATAATCGAACGTGTATATAGCGAGAGCCATGTATTCATCAAATACAATAATCACAACAATCGGTTTCGTCCTTTGTACACAGAAACTGATGGAAAGGATAATACCCAACATTAACACAAGGGATGAGTAAATAGATGACTTAGAGTTGACTTTAATCTAGCAAAGTACAGATGTGTCGAATCTTGTCCACCTGGTTACCACCTTCCCTTATGTGGATTTGTTATGAAGACTGCTGTATGTGACAGAGGCAACAAATGATTGGAACGCTACTAAAATGTCGAGTTGTCTGCCCTTCGGTTTTGAGAGAAATTGTAGGCTGGAACGTTCTTGACGTCGAATACTTGCTTTAACAATGTAATAGCGACATTAGGACGATTCAAAGCTCTGTATACGTAACTTGAGTCTTATCTACCTGCCAAGAGAGGCACCTATTTCAAAACACTGGATCCCTGCCCGCTTCCGAACACAGTTGCGCACATTCGTGAGACTCTTACATTATTCATAGGGCTTTTTACTTTCTGCTACTTACACTTCTTTGACCCATTGTCCTTTTTGGTGATTGTGAACTTAAAACTGTTATATAAATTATTGATCGTTCATTCATCGTAATAAAGCTATGCACTGATTTCGCAATTGCTACCTACAGCCAATCCTTTCACGTCAACTGAGAAATCACATCGTAATAGAGTGAAAGAGTAAGACTTCACTGCACACAAATAAAAACACTTTTTAGCTACTTCAATACCCCTTAATAACATTTTTACATTTTGCATGTAGCTTCTTTGTAAGATCCACGCTGGACATGTACCAGTATTCAAACAGAATGATACATGTTCAAAACAGGCATATGTATGCTTGCATTATACCCTCAAGTTGGATGGTGAATGAATTATAAATGGATCATACTTCTTATAAGTACATTAAGGTATGTTGAAGAGAAGAGTGAGTGAATATTATTTTATGCTGGGTCAACATTGAATTTGAGAATGCAAGATTCCATTTTTATTTTGTGTTCTCTTGTAAAGTTGGCGGAATATTTTTATCTTCCCTTTCGCGCGATGGTCGTTCCGTCAGCAACAGATCCACGTTGGCTCATGAAACAATCCTCAGGCAAAAACAAATAATAACAAACATGTTAATTTTAAGGGTTTTTATTAATACCTGGAAATTGTAGAATAACAATGTTCACCAGTAGCAACCAAGCAATGTCTAGCTGAGAGGGCGGTAGCGAGAGTGCTCAATAAAGATGTATGTTGGAATAAAAATGTAGCTCATTAAACGTGGAAGGTCTGTGGAGCACCAGAACCTCAGCTCCGAATGCCCGCTAGTATGACACGTAGGGGAACGGGCTTTCAGGTGTACCCTGAATATCTGCCAATCAGACAAACCTAGCTTCCTTGTAGGATTTCTGTGTTAAGGTTGTAATAGAGAGGGATTTATGAGGTGGTTGATTCAAACAAGGATGTCATAAACACTACAGCAAGTCGACAGAACTGTAAGGCTCCAAATGGTCTGGTCAGAGCATTACACCAAGCGACCCTAATGTACAATATGTGAAGAAAGAAGATTAAAAATTAAGAAAACTACCAGTCGAATCTCAGATATTCTCCAGTAAAATTAACAAATATTCTGTGAATTAAAAAAATGACAAACAAAAAGCATATATTCTGAATGTGGAATCTAAAGTTAACACTACCGACAAAATCCTGAGATACACGAGTTAAAATGATCAGCTGTAATGAAGTGATCACCAATATAAGAAAGTATCATGTTAGTCAAGTCGCGGCCATTATTGTCAGAGTCACGGGACCTGTACTGAAATACAGCCAGAAGCATGGAGTGATAAGGAGGATGGTTTCTTCATCAGCCACGATGGAGACTGCGTGTATATCAACTTCATCTAGTACTCTGTACAAAACCGACTCGACCAGAAGCCACGATAAGACATGAGGAAAAAAATCTGACAACAGTAAGGTGCATAATAAAATTCCTTATTTCCCAAGCTACTTTATGAAAGACTTTGTGAAAGACAATTAAGTGCAAAATGTAATCAAATACATATCAAATCTACAAAAGGAAAAACTCACAGTTTAATGCATTTTATGAGAAGTATATGGTTCACTTATGTCTACTGCCGAGGCCAACAGCAGAACACGAAGGTCGTCCCACATGGTGGGAAGACTCTAATGTGTCTAGGGGAAGATTTGGAGCAGTATAAATTAGGCTAAGATCTTATACACCATTCTTACCATGTAGACCAACACGTCATCCCATTCGCTGGTAGCATTCGTCTCTGGGAGAGGATCAAGACGCGCGACAATCCCACACATACACAGTGGTAATATCAGTAAAAATGGGTAGATGTACAATAAACATTTTGTTCATTAGCTGGCACGAAAAACACTCTACCACCTACAATGTAACAAGTGGTCTTAAATTCGATAATATTGTAATCAGAGAAATTGCTAAGCAAACCTTTGAATGAAGGATGGTGGTATGTGAGGACTAGTTAAATACTGTTATACACATTAAATAATATTTGATCAACTATTTGTAATAGTAATTGGTATATTCACTCTATACATAAAGACAAATACATGCCATCATAAATAATCTACAATATTTCGTTTACTGGGCATGACATATTTGAATCAATAACATGTCATTAAATGCTTTCTTTGTTAATCCTGAAAAAAGTTGTGATCATGAATATTATGATGAATCTTTTTAATGACAATCTGCAATGCAAAACATTCAGTAAAACTATTCGTGATCCCTATTCTTTACGTTCAGAATAGATGGAATGAAAGTCATTAAGACTATTAGGTTAAAGATGATCTGAGTAAAAATTACTACTTCGTACAAAACATCTCACTCTTATGTAATTATAATAATGTAGCCTCGCTATTTGTATGTGAAAATGTCACTTCATACAAGGTGTTGTGTACTGTAATCGTATGGTAGATTCATGAAGTTATAAAAGCAAAAAAATATGAGAATACTTTTAAAAAACCACATAGATATGAAATGGATATTTTCATCATATATTGAAAAACTCAATCATAAGTAGGTGGGTGTTTCGTTCTCTATAACAAACATACGGATGATCGACGTACGAAATGAGAAATCTTTGACCCTACTATCACTGAAATTTACAGAAAATGTCTCAAGATGATGGTTACAATAAAACATAAAGTACGAAAAAGAATAAACGAGTTGAAGAAGATCAATAAAAGCAATAAAAATTAAGCTGGCATGGCTATGAACCATTAACAAATTTAATATATAGAAACCAAGAAGCATATATTTTTTTTCTGTTTCGCTCCAATTCAGACATGGGGCAAACAAATTCCAGAAAATATAAAGAAATCCGAACAAACGTTTCTGTGTATTTAAAAGATGGTACAAAATAAATGAAATGAGAATGATACCAACGCCCTTAAGACAATAATAAAATTTTCTTTTTCACCGGCAGAGGTTATACACAGCTGCAATCATAAGTTTAAAATACGTAACAACTAAAGGTAACCATCAAGCGTTTAATCAAAGCGCTGCTTAATTCCAAAACGAGGCACATCACGCATCGTGCTTTATTTAAAAGCTTTGTTTTAAACCCTGAAAGGTATGTGTAACACTACTGAATCTGGCAAAATTCCACTGTGACGTATTTTGGATATTTCAGTTCTTCCTCTCTCAATGAATCGCTTGATGGCTTCCTCTAACTGCAGTAGTATTCTATTGCTTAACAATGTTCATATCACAAGAACTCGCTGGTGTTAGGGACTGAATAATGCCTAATGCCGATATATTACTGTCTGTACGATCCATTGGCATCTTTGATAAATTTTACCGTGAAATTATGCCTTGAAACCTTACTTATCTACCCTGGTGATTGTTTACACTACCCAGATTTTACCACTTTGAACGTTGGGTATTTATGTCACTTTAGTTGTATCACGTCTTTCTTTGTTGGAAAAGTGAAAAAATAATTAAATTTAATACCATTTCGCGGAAATAGTCATAAAAATAAAAATATCCATAAAATTAAAACTGAATCTCTTTCACATTGAGTTGTTATGCAAATGTCAATATAACTATTCAGACACAATCTACAAGTAAAAGATGTGTCTATAATATATTCTAGCTCTAGGTAGTAATCAATACATGTGTTTTATCTCTGCAAATTGAGCGGTTTTAAAATATCAATAAACGTCTTTCACGTGTTTGTCTTTATCAACATTAGAGTAAGCTATGGCTATGAAAACCTTTGGTTCTCATTCCAGCAACTTTCAACGCACATCCAAGACATCATAACATCATTAACACTTCAACAGTTCATACAACAAATGTGTGGAAAACTCAACAAGGGATTTTACATCGCACGGAGATAAAAAGTGTCGTAAATATTTACCATTCAACAAACAGTCTTTAAATTCTATTATACAGTCATGATGTACATCTGTTACTATACTCATTTCACAATTTTAATCTCGACTTAAATATGCACGGGGAGCTGTTAATGACGTAACGTCATTGTCGAAACCAGGATTACCGAATCAAACAGCGTTATGTCCATCCTGTTCATGTTGTCGTGCCAATGGTTATAGTGTAAGTGGTGAGGACAGTGTTGTTATATTGATGGTTCTACAATGGTGTTCAAACTGGCCATGGTGTCCAATTGGTGTCCAGTCTGACTTCATACGGTAAATTACACCATGAGAGGCAGAATATATATTCTAACTCAAGGCAGAGTTTTTTTGACTTATTACTTAACCTCGCCAGTAACTTCTTTGCTTATGAAAAGAACACCAATTCACAGTGAAATGCCATCCCAGTCGATGCAAGAATTAATACTCTTCACAAATACTTTTCAAATGAATACTTTGAAGATAGATACATTAAAGGTGTAAGGGGAAATTATATTTGCATCTTTCAAACTTTTATATATTATTCATATTTGTTCGAGCTTTGTTTAAGTACTTGAATAAGCATTGTCATCAACTCAACTGCCTGGCTTTAAGTGTTCTGGACACAAGGACCTGCTTCTCCTAACAGTAGGTAAAGGCTATAGTTTTACAAATTGAGATGTGTGTTTTCCATTTATTTTCACTTCAAACCTTTCTTTTCGCAAAGTATCTTACAGATCCAGATGAGCGACATAATTCTTGTAACTGTTTTCAAAGGTTTACGAACACGACACATCTACGCATCAATCAGTAAGCAAGCAATATGTTTTCAGTGCCTATTCGTTATGTTTTCGGTATCCGAATGTTTCCAGAATAACTATATTTTGATTAGTACGGTATCCAGGAGCTGCCGGTTCTGGAGGTAGCATACAGTACAGTATATAGCATACTTCTAACATGGAATGATGAGAAATATCACTTTGAAGGAACCTCGGTTGAAATATAGCACACTTTACCAGCACTGTCATACCATATCATGTCATACCATGCTGTGAGTGAACATTACTAACATATTTAAATCATAACACAATAAAAAGCATTTGTATCGGTTCGATTAATATCATTATTTTATCGTAATTATATAATCATGTGATATGGACGGTGCTGCATACAAATCTAATGTAAAATAAGCATTTGTATATATACCTACCAAAGTCCACAAACCTTTGTTATTTTGTTTCTGATATAATTACACGGTGATATATTTACCTATACCTATCGTTTGGAGACATAGTATTACCATTTATGTCATATTATTCTAGTTCTATATTCTAAAATATACCATAAAGAAGAGCTTTTATATTTGTAGCAAAGTGACAAAGGTCATTCAGAAGTGAAAGATCTGTCATATTTATATCTCTACAAACCACTGTGTGTCTAGCAACCAACTGGTCTTTAAATAGAAGCCCCAGACTTTGGTTATATTCCTGTTTCCATGGATACCAGATTGTTAACCATTTGTGCTGAAATAACAACGTTGTTTTCTTGAATGTTTCTGCTGACTAAGTAAGGACATGTTCTGCACAAATATTTCAGGATATTTAAATTTATAATAGCATTAAATTCTTTTGAGCCATATGAAATGCTTTATGATTTGAAATATAACACAGAATTACAGCTGGGATTAATCGATTGTGTTTTGTTCAGTTGTCATGGCAATACACAGCAAAATGAAGAATATGACGTCAAATGAATTCATGGTTACCATGGCGACAAGATGGGTGCAGGAACGTATTCTTAAACTTGGATTCTAACACCCCCTAGAACGAAACATTCCAGAGCAACAACACTCTACCAGAAAACCTTCAATAGCAATTTCAAATATAAATGTCATCTCCCAAAAGGCATAATTTGCAATCCAGTCCAGAATTACATATTCTCAAACCAAAACCAGACGTTTCAAAGAAAGAAATTTGGTTTCAATGAATACAACAAGTTTGCAAATGCTACCTTTTGTTGTGTGAACGTTTATGTTAGTGATAGATCTTGTAGTGGAAATGGAAGATTAATAATAAGCCCCTTTTCGACAATCCCGTGCCAGATTTCGGGCAGATGAAGATAAGACGATGTGGTTTCATGAAAAAGAATGAGGTATGCAATGTTTGTCAAGAAAATGAAAAAAAATATGAAAATTAACAACAAAATGATATAAATCTGTTACTATGTTCAAACTGTGTGTGATATCTACACTGGGTGTGGTTAAAACTAGGTGAGTACAGAGAGACGCTGACGGGTGCATACTATATGGGGGACTAGGTATCGAAAACTCCTCAAGCAAAGAAACCAAGATGAAAACTACTGCTTAATTATATCATGAAAAGACCTCTCCCCATCAAGGATAAAAACAATATTAGCACAAGCACAGTCGTATAGATTCTCATTATGTTAAAACGAGGAACATTCCCCGTAGTATGTTTCTAGAAATGACTGCTTACATCCACCAATATACACGTTTCCGAAAATGGAAAAGTAAACAGGAAGGAAATTTACACATTACTGTACAGTGTTAAGTTTCCATTTAATGAAAGGTGTCATTGTACACATGATTTTGCTATGTCATAAACTCTCAATACATTTGGAAATCTGTATCAAATATATCTGCAATTAAGTTGAAAGTACGCTACGTTTCATAAAAGACATCTAAAAATCTACTCTACGAACCTTCTTAATTTGTGTTACACTCATTACAACAAATATACAAAAAATAGTTCAACGTACATTCTAGAATTATAGTCTATGTCATGTGAGCAAAAGCAATTGATAAACTAGCTATAACTAGAGAAGTTCATCTTGGCAGTACCGACCTCAATGGTGCAGTTGTCCGGCAAAGATTCAGTTGAGAACTTGAAGTCTCGCACACGTTCTGACAACAGTATGTCGACCATACATATTTGATACAGATTTCCTGCTTTTCCAGGGGGCTACGGTCTGCATTGTACGTACAGACTCCGCAAACTGTACAGTACAGAATTTGTACTCTGTACGGTACAGAATAAGTATCCTGCATGGTACAAATTATGTGCAATTACGGAACAGATGGCATATTGTACGGTTTCAACACTTTACCTTGTGGCATAGCCTCTCTGCACTGTACGGCCTAACATGTGTACACCGTACAGCGCACACATTTCTACACTGTCCGCCACAAACTCTGCACACTTTCGTGTACAGAATCTATACACCGTATGACACACAATCTGCACACCATGTAGTACAAATTCCCTACTCTGTACGGCACAAACTCTCCACACTGTACGGCACAAACTCCGTACACTGTACGGCACTATCTCCGTACACTGTACGGTACAGACTCGTGTTGGCTGGGACCACCAGGACGTTGAGATCAGGATGCGATACACATTAAAATGATATGCAAAAATTGTAAAATAAATAAATTAGAAAATATGTACAGGACACTCATCAGTTCAAACAAAGTACTGGAGCATTGTAAAGCTTGAACATTGCATCTCCGAGACCGCCACTAGGGCGAGTTAGGACCTTGTAAACCAACATCCCATAATATCAAAAGTATCGCAATCACAATTGAACGCTCCAATCAACACGCTATCCAACAGCATCCAACTGTGGGATTTTCGGTGCTCGTTCCTCGAGGTTCAAAGAGTGTGAAAATTGCAGCTCTCTGTGGAATATCCGGGGTAGGTCATGTATGAAATACACTTTTGAAACTTTCACGTGGTAAAACGCACCGCCATCTTTGTGGTGTATCACGTGGTTAGTTGCGTACAGATCACATGACTTTTCATTGGATTGTGTTCAGGCGATACACATCTTGTACGAACAATCAACACAGATCAAGACTCGTTCCATTCTCACAACCATACGCATATGGTCGACAAGAATAGGCAGATCGTCCTCAGCTCAAATCATGTATTCACCTTGTTCAGTGCTATATCATGGCCTGGAATCGAAGTGTCTCCTCATGTCTGGCTGATAAAAATGTACAGCTATTCCTCCTCCGCAGCAAAAGTTCCACAGTATCACCAATGGGAAGATAATTAAAGAAAATGTCATAATGCTTACCATCCACAAGAAATTCAGTGACTCGCCTTATATCACAATCACGCATATAAACTTGAAGTTGATAAAAATGTCATAATAAACAAGGTGGTTGAAAATTTCTACTCTACTTGGGAATGCCCGGAAATGCTGTTACAAGGTAGATATCCTCACAACTCCCGGGTTCTGGGATTGGGTAGGAGGAGACATAGTCCCACTTGTACTCTGAGTTTTTAATGATTCCGTCTCTGAGGTTGTACTTGGAGTCGGGAGTGTCACTATCGCTGTTGTCACGGTAAGAGTATTGTTAGATTTACTATTTGTACACTCAACGGCATTCAGGCTTGAGCGAGAGGATCGGTTTATTGTGGGAAGTCGGATTTGAATGTCGTTCAGTTCCTCCTGTTCCAAGCCATGTCTATCGTGTGTTCGACCCTGAAAAGGAACACAGTTTCAGAGTTATTAAGAGCAAACATTCCCACAATTGTGCATAATGTAGAAAATACATATATATATACGTGCATGCTTCAGGGACATCTCTGGCATAAGAGACGAATTTTGAAATTTTCAGATCATCATCCAGAAAGCAGACTGAACAAGATTCGTTGTAGCAAGATTCCAGTTAACTTAGAAGAACTTACCTTCTCACTGGGAACAAACTAAACTAGAAACTAAATTCTATGTCTACATTTGACATGGATTGGTATTTACTATAGAAATTAAAAGAAGAATCACTGTGCAAGAAATTTGTAAAGACGTGCATATAATCAAAGTTTTAACTGAAGCAAACCGTAAAAATCTACTCTTATTTTAATTACTTTATTTACAAGAAAGCTTCGATGTGGTGAAAACCTGCGTGCGCAGCAACCGGTAGTTCGCCGTCTCTGTAACGAGGCCAGGGAGGGATCGGGAGACGGAGGGGGGGTCTCAGATGGCTTGGTGGGTGCTCCATTAAATGTCATTTCCAGTTCTGTGAATTCCCGATCCTGTAGTGACAGAAGAACTTCTCGTCACTTGTGTTTAGATGGCCACGCCGGGCAGGACTTTGTATCACTATGGTTATCTAGGCTCAACTCAACTGCAACTGCACTTAGGGTAGGTACTACTCTCAGGCTTAGATTAATTTTTGAGTTTGTCTACGGGAATTAGTTTTCACAGCAGTCTGTTTTTTGTAGGTTTGCTTTTAGATTATCCAGTGTATCTTGTCTCCATTCTATTAGGATAAATATGTAAGTGAACCAATTTACCTCTATGGTATCATTAGGAAAATACGTCGTCATTTTCATCTATCTCTTCAATCTCTAACGCAACGCAGAATGTCTCTTCTTTATGCCAGTACCCTGATTGGATGGCTATTGTTATCAGGCTCAAAACAAGCCATTGTGCCAATGTGCCCACGGTATTGATCTTAATGGAATGGAGATATTATTCACTGAATAATCTAGGATGATGTGGTTGTGGATTATTTCTAGCTAGTGAAAAGTAGGCTACACAGGGCTATCTTAACAATGAGTGTTTCATGTGTAGCTTTTACGCTCAGTTTGGGAATCCGATTGTTCTCTCACGTTATATACTTCCAATGTGTTTAAAGACTTCATATTTTATAGACAGTAGATTGATAACAACGATTCGTGTAGTGAACTGACGTTGAGAAAATTGATCAATGTTTTAAATATTCTGAGTGTTGTGGGATTTTTTTTACTGATTATGTTACATCCAGGGACTAAACTCAAGAGGCTATCATATGCTATTGTATGCTTGTTCCTTCGGTGGTTAGCATGCTGATATATATGCTCCGGGTTAAGTAAACTGCATAACAAGTATGCTGGAACACATCTGTCTTCTTGAAACAACCTCAACAAGTTCCCTTAAAATTCTCCTTGATATTATTAAATGCTATTAAAAAAATTCAAAACCTATATACACCCTGAGTCTTGCTGGTTTCCATGGCAAAAACATATACCCAATGCTTATTTTTGAACCCCTTTTGGGCCATAATTAAACTTCGTATCGACTGTATCCTTTTTCTTTTATGGTAGTCTTCAAGACCTAAAATCATAAGAATGTTGTCTTCAAGACCTAAATTCATAAGAATGTATTTTGTTGACATTTCTTATGATTATGAAATGTTTTCTTATTTTCCTGTTATGGTTGTCTTCAAGACCTAAATTCATAAGAATGTATTTTGTTGACATTTCTTATGATTATGAAATGTTTTCTTATTTTCCTGTTCTAGTTGAAATGAAAACCTCAATATCATTTGCCTTCTTATTCACATTACTTTTCCTGTCAATACAATATAACTTTCATATTAGTTAATAATAACATCTGTTGTTCACTCTCCTCAGATTTCGTTTCCCTTTAGAAGTAACACCAAACTCTAGATTTTTTTCAGATATCGCTACCTGTGGAAAGTATTGTCCAATCATTGTTTCATCTCTATCCTAATTACATTTTATTTTATTTATTGCCATGAGCATAATTCAAACAATGTTTCTGTTGTGCTCACATTTTCTCGTATGAATGTAAACTCTCAAACATTCTTTTATGTTTATTCTTGTGAAGACTGAAATCTCAACACTGTCCAAAGCAAAATTCAAAAGCTGTCTTCGGTTACCTTTTCCTTTCCTTTTCAATAATAAAATCCCAATATATTGTCCTTTTCCCCTCACGCTTAAGACTGTTTTCCTTCAAACAATTAGGATCACTAGACTATTTCCTTCTTACTCTCACAGTTGCCTTATCAACTCCAAAGACTATTTTATTTTGTCAACAGCAAAATCCCCCAAACTGAAAAACTCTCACCACTACTTTTATGGGTATCCGTACCTTTTCTTGTTTCACTAAAATATCAGAATTTCCCTTTTGATAACTTTTATTTTTAATTTGAAAAAAGTAATACAGTTATTGTTTCATATCTAAATAGTATAAATTTTATTATCTAAAGAAAAATTCCCAAACCCATTTTTTTCTTTTGGGTATCCCTTTCTTGCCCCAAAATGAAATCCTTCTTATGGTTAATTTTGTCATGTCAAAACTAAAATCATCCAGCTGTTTCCCTTTCCTTGTCTTCAAAGAACTAAAATCTGAAGATTTCCGTTGGCTCCCAAAATCTTGTTCCTGTTCTTGTCTAAATTCAAATCCCAATACTCTTTCATTCTTTTTCTTTTCCTTCTTGATAAGATAGTATCCATATATTGTTTCTTCTTTCAGATCATATTCCTGGTCTCATCAAAACTTATATCCAAATATTCCTTACTGCTTTTTCGTATTTCCTCTTTTGTTGCTAATACTCCAAGATTGTTTTCTTTATCACTCTTATTTCCTTCATGCCAAACTGAAAGCCCAATTTATACTCTCCTGTTCTCATTACTTTTCTTGCTAAAATGATTGACGATCCTTCCCTTTCTAACTGTTTTCTTGCCTCAACTAGGTACCAAGACATCAATATTAATAAATGTATATATTGTGTATAAATGCGTGCAACTCATTCGGGTGTTTGCAAGGCACAACATCTCAAACGCACAAACGTGAACAGTGTAGTGTAGTGTATAACTATTCTTATCTATTGATTCAAACCATTGCTCTCGTAAATATCAGACGAGCTTAGTTCTCCACGGCAGGCGCTGGGGTGGGGTTTGGGGGCAGGGCAGGGAGTCACACCCAAACTAACGAGTGCAATAGCCTTTATCTATTGCAAACAAACTTTCTAACTGGCTGCAAAACAAAATTTTCAACCGACAATGCGAAGCTTTAGTTTTAGCTTTGGTGTTTTGATAAAACATTTATAAAGTGACAGAATGTCCCTCTGGACATCTGGCTACTGCATACAGAGGACAATGTATATCGTATGAGGCTCTATGGGCAAACATATTCATAAGAAATACAGAAATATATATTTGTATGTTCCACATAGAGTCTCACATTTAGGCTATTACAACATTGCAAATTTACAAAGCATGACAGCTGTCTCGAATCAAATATATAACAGATCAGCATGTTTAAACATTTCTACAGCATTAGCAACTAAAGCAAATGTATTACGTTATACCTTAGAAAGAGTTAAGGTACATAGCATTCGGGTTAAAAGTTATTATTATTCATATGAAATGATAATAAATAATCACTAGAGTTATTTAGAATGCGGACGTACGGACAAGCTTGTAAATCAAATATGACTGAGAGTAATGAATAATATTAGAGACAGCTTTCATAGGGAAACCAGTCAGGTACACAATGCAGTGACGAAAAACAGATAAGATATTTGTCTACAGAGAGGAGGGAGAGGAGGGGTGCAGATTACCACTTCTAATGGGTGTGACTCCATGGGCGGTTTGAATATGGACCACCTATGTATATGTGCAAATATGTGTCACCATGAAGTCCATGAAGTCATTCTTCAAAGGAATTATGTTTAAAGTTATCGTAAAATATGATAGTGCCTGGGATTGATGTTTGAATAATTTCTCCAGTTCATGAAGTCATTCTTCAAGGGGAGTATTTAAACATTATTGATAAATATTGTGGTGCCTTTGATTTTGAACAATTTCACCAGTAGTTATTCAGATTTAGGATAACACAATGGTGACTAAGTGCATATTAAGTTATAATATCAATTTTGCGATCAGGGGGACTAGAACGTTGGACATAGTGAATTGTGTCCATAATATGGTGACGAAGATCAGAGGCAAACATACACATATAAAGAGATATCTAGTGCAATTAGCTACAGTCTTGAATGGCGTAGGACAGCATAAGGACTAAATCTAGTGGGTAATATATCATAGCATTAGCACTAAAGAAGATATTTAAGAATATTCATGTACATACGGGTACCTTTTGATATGTTTCACTCACACAATGTCACTGCACTTTATGGTAAGGCTCGTACTCATTTTATTTCGCTTAACATATATTTCATGGTTCCCAAAACAGTAATGTTTGGAGGTAATGATAAGGTGATATTCAAAATATTGAACTTTTTTCAACTTGCACTTAAAGATGAGTGCAGGCATGACAGATTTCCTATTATAAGTGAGTCATCGATGTGTGCATCAAATTATTACAAATGTCAATAAAAGTGCCGATGTTTAAATGTTGGACATCCGCATACATATTTTAAGTATTCTCTACGTAAATACTTTAACTCTTTCACTTAAATTAAGTGCACAATTATTTCGGCACTTGTCGTTAAGTCAGTGTACCTTTAGATGTACCTACTATTGCCTGAGGTTATTTTGACAAGCGTTTGTGATTGTTTAAACTGTGGGGTAGTTCTTGGTTAGGGATGGTAATGTTTGATGTCTGTACATCATGCATGACATGTTAACATGGGTGGGGATCATGCAGGATCTATTCATGTCTAACATAAGCTATATATACTATATTGCTGAAACGAACGACAAGTATTAAACATATATATATGTATATATTCTCATTATACGTATAATGCAAATACTTGAAAATACCCGCATCAATGTTTCAAGCAGATTTAAATGGAATAATGTTATGAATGATGTATTTGCTCATTTGAAGGTGGATAATGTTTTTAAATTGTTTTGGCTCCTTTGATGAGATATTTTCAAGTATTTATGTACATGTATATACGATATACTGTGTGCTACATGGGTATACTAACATACGAAGAGGATATACATATTGCCTACGAAATATTTATATTGATATCATAAAAATTAGATAAGAGTGATAGTGTTTTAACACTCAAGTTATTCTATACGCTTAGAACTATATATCACTATGGCATATCATCTATGACATCATAACAGAACATATTTATAATTATTCATCCACGAGGGTTCACCTGATAACAGTTTGCATTCCAATCCACAAACTAAAATTTCATTTAATGCATTAATAACATGCATTTACGTGAAATGATGCATCTACAGGTATGCATATCAAAATAATATGTCCATATCAAATTCTTTCCACGAGAAAACTTAAAATTATTCCAATGTCAAACATATGATAACCCGCGCTGCTAACACACACTATGCAAACTCGTGTGATACAGAAAATAAATTATCACATTAAAATATCTACAAAAATGAAAATAAATTCAAACACTCTGAGAGTAAATAGAATTAGTGTGAAACTATATCAGATTAGTGCAATACTTAAATGTAAATACGCGGAAATAACTTTCAAGCATTGAAATAAACTAGACTTATCTCTGTAAACACATATACACAGGAATGGTGAAATAGATTGTGTCTTTGAATTCCCATACAAACACTGGAACATTTTAGTCCCATTTAAGTCATGATGGCAAAAGACCTTTAAATGACATGCGTTTGTTTGCTCAACACAAAACATGTTGGCACGGATAATTACATACATGGTATGGTGTTCATTAAAGACACATCCCTGTTTCATCACTGACAGAACTAACTGCATCACAAGCAAAACCAGATAGTACACAAGCACGGGATCATACAGTGAGCAGGCAATAGACACAAAGATCATGAGCTATATGCTGTATGCATACTGCAGGCTCACTTACCGTTGTCTTCTCCAGACAGCTTAATAGATGGTGATGTTGCATCTCAAATATGTCCTCCTTGTATTCGTCTAACTCTAATCCGCTTTCCCTCGCTATCATTATTTCCTCAGCTCGTTTCTTGCTGTTCAGGAAAGCAGCACCGCTAGCATTCTTTGCCATTCGAATGCGTGCCAACCTGGCTTTCTGTGAGAATAAAATGAGATTAATATTAATTCAGTAATGTCCGAATGTTACTGAAAACAGAATTCCATTCCATCATTGTTTCATCCGTATCCAACAGATCGACCTTTAATCACTTACTTCCAAACACATTCAAAATCAATACAGCAATTGCGATACACATAAAAGGAAATATAAGGATATTTAGATGTGTAATTGTTTAAAATTGTTCGATCTGACCAAACGCAAGCAAAGTTAGTTTCACCATTTAACGCTTGGCAAGTTAAAACAGATATTTGCTTTGTCTTGTTAGGATCCAGACGTCAAACATAAGCAACGAAAGCCTTTTCACAACCCCTTCTAAAAACAAAGATTATTGTACGATCCCGATCACATAATGTGTTTATGACACCAGGTGTTCGAGAAAAGATGAGCGTATAGTGTCCTACCAGAAGGACCATTCAGAAAAAATATGCCAATCACGTCAGTTGCTTAATATTCACATTCAATCACTGCACGCTTCTTTCATCCTGCATTCTGTTCTATAAATACTTCTTCTGCTAATGCTAGTCATTATATTAACACATTGTGATCAGTGGAAAACATATAGTATGCTTCCCAGCAATGAGATGTCATTAACGTAATTTTGAAATTATCTCGGGAATGACGTAATCGGTTCAGCTGCTGATCAATATTTTGATATTGTGTTCTTGAAGTATGGATGTGTGGAATACAGAACTTGGAGCTATGAAAATAATCTTTGTTTACCTTGAATTTATTTCGAGGTTGACTATAGTCAAATACGTTTATGGCTTGCATTATCCAGGTTGAACACAGTACAAGCCAACAAGCATCCCATTAACCTACCTTTAGTCCGATCACAGAAGAACACGTTGATGAGAGCATTCCCGTTAGTTTTAGTTCGTGAATAGGAACAGCAGACCCCCAAAGGGTTCGTGAGGTTCTTATTCGCGAACCAACACTTATGAGTATGTTATAGAACTTCAGATCCCTAGTTCACACGTTTGGAAAAATATTCTTTTGAAGAAAATATTTCAACAACTGAGTCCATGGATTTACAACAGCACAAATATGAACACAGGTTATCTCCCTTACTCCATGTCCTGAGAGTCGAAGTCGTTTAACGATCCCAATTACTACCAGTATTTGACGGTGTATTGATAATTAACGCAGCATCTGTGGGTGTTTACGTACATGATCTGCTGCCTAATTTAATCTCGTGCACAGAAACATATGATCCTTGCGAGTAAGAGGCATTGGACACGGACCGGCAACCCAATTATGAGAGTCTGACGAAATATATTGACAAGTAATTGTTTAATTTATAGGGAAGGAACAAGTGGCTGGCTGTACTCAATCAAATACGGATAACTGAAATGCATAATGTGTTATCATACAAAGAAGGTGTTTTCTCCATATTTAATCAATGGCACGTAAAGCGTAACGGATTTCCTTGCAAGTAGTTAACGGGCCATGATGTTAGCTAAATAATTGCTGACATGGCAATTTGTACATTAACCCGTAGCCACCGTCACACAATATATTTCCTGTATAATGGTCGTCAGTTCACAATGAACACTACACTCTGCTAAACATGTTTGTGTGTGTCCAATTGTTCCGCGGTTTTAAAATTTCATGATTGGGGGCGGTTTCGCTAGCCCGCTGGCACCAACTGACAGGATCCGGATCCTCAGAGACCAAGGGTTGCCAGAGGCTATGGAGTGGCAGTGGTGGCGCTGTGATCTGCTGTCTTCCAGGCCCGTCTATTGTGCACGATCCTAAAGGACCTTATTCCGCTTCTCTGTACTATACTAATTAATCTCATGGACCAAGCATTTCTTCTTGTCGTCACGTCAAATATGGTTGGGTCCATATTCTAGCTACCCACAGAAGGGCTGGGGTATTCCCCTACCCAATGTTCGTTTTTCATGTTTAACAATTACAGGTAAACGTAAGCCTCATTGTAATGCTATATGCTTTGTAGGTTTTTGTGACAAGACAAGAAGATAATTTTTTTCACTTTTTCCCAAAGGAGTGTACGATTGTATGTTTTAATTGTTTTCACAACAGAGTGTTCATTATACTATGTATCTTCTACTAAACATATATTTTATTTATTTAATAAAAATGTTATGGGGTTTTGTCTGTATTTTATACTATTAGATATACGTTTGCCATAGGATTGGCGACTGGCTAGAGTTAGCTTTGTCCTGGGTTTCACTTGGAAGCAAATGTTTCCTAGCATGCAATAAACCTATCTATTATCTACAATATTATCTAGAATATCACGTGACTTTGTTAAACAACGATGAAGCATTTATATTATCGTCAGCCGAGATCATTGAAACTGTATTACTCTCCTACCCCCGAGCATAGATACTGCTTCAAGTAAACAATCCGACTGGGTTTGTCTAACGCCGTGTGAAGTATGAAGTCAAACACGCCATTAGGGCACAGTCGTGAATCTGGGCTTCGAAACCAAGACTAGATGATCCCGGGCGTAATCTTACTCAGCAAACTAAGTGGCATTGTCCGGTGGCGCGTGGTCCTGTGCTCAAAGCTCAGGTCACAAGTCGGTGAAGTTAAGCAGCGTCGAGCTCGGAGAGTCCTTGGATGGGTGACCGTGTTTGGCAGCTTGACTCCTGAGAGTTTCTAGGACTTGAGTCCTGCCCCACAACGAAGCACATGTGACACATGTGGTCTCACCTTAGGCAAGTGAGTTTGTTGAAAATTGTCTCTGTTCACCCAGCAGGAAAATGGGTACCCGGTGGAAAAAAAGTCATATGACTATAACCTTCTAGCGCCTAACAGGCAGCTTGGGTTATCCGGGGTAATAATGTGCTGTGCCTTGATTCTTAGCGCTATGAGCATACCTAGTGTGGAGTTTGTATTATACCAAAAGCAAAAGTAATGCAGCAGATCCTGGTACCAACAAGGGGTCGTACCCCGCACTGAGACAACCTACGTATAACACATTGTGGTAAGAAGGAGGCATGGACACCAGCTGGGTTATCCTTCTTGTGTCTTTAAACATGTGATCACATGTTTGATGTGGATTACCGTTTCTCATGTCGTAGTATGACATACAAAACATTTGGACACTTCGAAATGTGATTTATCATTGATCAAAATGTATTGCAATTCCTCATTTGATTTGTACTTTATGTCTACAATACATATTTGACTTGCCTGTGCATGTGTTTATGACGGGGCCTTTATGATGGGGCATGATTTGCTCACCTTTTCGCGAAAAAGTGCCGCAATATCGTCATTAATGGATAGTGAACCATAGGCATATGCCCTTTGACAAATGCCCATAGTTTATGATTTTTTTCCTTTTAAAAAAAAACATTGGTTGAGCAAATTAAACATACCTTCTGAGCTTTCCTCTTATCGGCACGTTGATTTTGATGATAGATGCGACTAAAGTTGGACACTATAACTGGAACGGGCAGAGCGATCACCAATACACCACTGAGAGAACACACACCTCCTACAATCTTCCCCGTAATAGTGTTGGGCACCATGTCACCATAACTGGAACAGAAACACGGACAATAAGCACATAGGAAACGGAATTCAGCGCAACAATACATTAAGCTGAACAATGCATTCAGTTCAGCAGTGCATTCAGCTCATCGACTACATTTAGGTCATCAATACATTCAGCTCAGCATTGTATTCAACTCATCAATGCATTTCGTTAAACAATGCTATCAGCCGAACAATGCATTCTGTTTAAATGCATTAAGTTCAACAATATATTCAGCTGAACAATGCATTCAGTTCAGCAGTACATTCAGCTCATTGACTACATTTAGGTCATCAATGCATTCAGCTCAACATTACTTTCGGCTCATCAATGCATTTCGTTAAACAATGCTATCAGCCGAACAATGCATTCAGCTTTGTCAAATGCATTCAATTCAGCAATACATTCAGCTCATCAATACATTCAGCTCAACAATACATTCAGCTCAAATGCATTCAACTCATTAAAAACAGTTCCGGAAACGTATGAAGGCGTATGGTTATCGCCTATGGTGAGATATAAGATCAGTTGGTATAATGACTTCAACAATACAGCCTAGCTGGAGCTGGAGCTGGTAAGATGGTATATTCAAGACTATTGTAAGGCAATGTGCGGAACGGAGCAGACAATCCTCAAGAGTATGTGATTTAACGTTGTTTATGTGGTATTGCCCTCCCGAAGGACTCATAACTGCCATGGTTGTTTGTTATCAGGAAAACTGTATCTTAAATGTGATATTATCTGACAACTACTTCCGTTCGTCAGATTATTTGCATCATAAAATAGGAGCAGTATTGGGGAAACGACCAAAGTATTTGCATGGATACACGTGATGCATATAATAATTCCAGATCCGTAGATCGATGCCTACGATGTCTATAACTGGACTGACAGATCCAGATTTAATTATTTACACAACAAGCATTTGTACATGAACGGTGTTATGCCACTGTCCCATATATTGGTTTTATTCAATACACAAACAAAATCGTCTTTGCTTTTGCAGTAAGAAGAAAAATATAAAATATAAAATTTGCGAAAACAATGTAATGTATTAGCATATGTAATAGGTATGTTCCATCTGTGATGTGGTTTGATCTTTTTCCAGTTGTCATGCACATATATGCATAAACCAGATAGTTATATTACAGCCATACGATATGTGCGTGTATTTCTACCAGATACAACCAAGATGGTATAGGGAGTACGGTAGAGAATGTTTCCCTAAGTTGACAGATTCTAACAGTTTAACAGAATGAGTATTGGTGGGGAAACAAACCCGGAATCGGACACCCTTAAACCTCAAAACCACTAGACCAAGATCACAGTACGGTCCAATATACATTGTGCATGGTCATGGCTTATTCCTCAAAAAGATTTGTCAAATATTTCCATTAGCATGTCTGCTTCGTCCTAACAGGGCAGAACAAAAAACGACAGTGAAAACTATTGCTTCCAGTAATCTTATCAACGTTTTTGTCAAACAAATCAATCACAATAATGGACATTTCTTTTGCCGTTGGCTGGAACTTATCACATTGTTTCACACTTATCAATGCCTAAAGACAAAAAATGAAATTTTGTCTTGATTATAATGTTCACTCTATCCCGACAATATCTGATTAAATAAATCTACAACCAGCATAATCAATTTCTCCAAACATGGTTCCTATAGCAACCATAAAACGATAATGCTTTGATTATTAGAAAAGTACTGTCTGTAAGAAAACATGAAAAGAGTGAATTAAAAAAATACTCGTATCCCTAAAGTAATTCAGCTGACGGTAGTCTTTGAACCTCTGCCAGGCGCCATTCAGGAGAATGTTAGTAAAACTCGCGCTGTCATTGCTATTCGGTGTTGACGAATGAAGGACAAAGACAAACAGTGTATGAAAATTATAATTCTTGTGATAAAATCATACAGTTATTTTCAAGACCAACATGTTTCTGCCTCACCAGAAATTCCATATTTGTGTTGAACGTTAACACATTGATTTCAGTCCACAACAGACTTATTCATGCTACAAAGGATAGGGTGTCATTGGTCTTTGCTTCTATACAACTGTCTGTTAATTCATGACACATCAAATTTTAACATTGTTGAAATGTTCGCCTATGAATGTACGGAGGAACAGTAAACAGCATCAATAATAAATACTACTACAGCCTGGATAGACTGGAAGCACTGAAAACAAATGGAAGTTAGCACGAGATAAAAATATCACGACCAGGTGCCGCAAAAACCATGGCAACGGTATGGACTTAGTCCAAACATGTCATTTCTAACATTACAGAGGCATGTTTTGATGCTTCTTTCAAGATATCCATTTATTGCATGTAAATTGTTATAAAGGCAACGATGCCGGTGTCAAACAATGGCCATTCCCAGTACACATGTAAAATGTATGAAGCTCTTCGAATGATAATTTAAACTGACAATGTCTTCAAAGTATTCAATATTAATGTATGTGTAAGGACAGGTTTCCCATGCATAATATTCAATTCCAGACCCCAAACCCAAACTTTTGTAATATTACAATTCTGGCATGTCGGCAGCCAGTCCGGTCAGAATTAAACAAAAGCACCACCCTTTCCATAAAAATACCAGAACGAAATAGAAATCGGTAGTTGCAGTTTCACAAATGGATACCCAAAACACTCGAACATTGTTCATGCCCCATACCATTGGTTTTCCCGGGTTTGATTCCAATATTTACCGGTCAGCACCGTGAATAATATATCCCTGACTGCGTCAGGAAACGACATTCACACACTACAAAGACACCAGGTGTCAAATAAGATCACACACATTACCCTACAAACAATAGGAACTGGTGAATTGCATTTTATATTTTTAACATTATGTTTGGTATTGGTATTACAATGCCCACAAGCATTAAATTCAGTTGTTGCTATGTTTCACTATCTAAAGTTTTCTTAACTAAATACAAAGTAGCACGAGCACAATACATAAACAAGTACGCTTGCTATTGATGAGCTAACGATCCAGCATCTGATGGAGAGATATTTGTATCTCTCATTACCATATGATCAATCTCCTGGCTCAGACACCAGCAACAAAAATACAAATGGAACCAGACTTCGTGTACAATGTCACATACAATATACGTTTTCCGGTTTGTTTTTACCTCCCTCCCAACTAGGGAAATAGGATCAATCAGGCAGCATTCATGTCGATGCAGTACCGCTGTCATTAGCTTGGTTAGGTCTTGTAAACTAAGCCGTAATTCTAACGGAAAGGCCCGGCCTCCATCATGCCTTTCTCTTCGGTCTGTGTGATCAATGGATGATTTGCTATAGCTCCGCTAATTGCAACATGTGGCAAGCGGGGAACTCTATACCGGTTCTCCTACATGGACGTAATGCAACTGATTAATGAGTCTAAACAGCTGACGAAGAACAAACACAAGAAAACAAGGTAATTAATTGGAAACACCGATCCCTTAACCACACACTGTCTACATATAGCCAACGCTTCTTCCTGAAACCAAACGGCTTAGGGTATATGAACATCTACTGAATGGAAATGGTATCTGGGCATGGTGATGTGTCTCGAAATGCCTGCACATAATTCTCCCCGGACACAAACACTCATTTCATCATCATACGAATTATATGCAGTATTTGAGGCATGTTAGTATGTGGTATTATGCTCGCTGGGAGACTGGCAATCTGCATAGCATGAGAAGAGCTAGAGAGAAATGTTTCATTTACAAAACCGATCTTCTGCAAGGAATGAAAGAAATACCAGACATAATAGGAAGAACCTGAGTTCTTGTGTTACAAATCCCTGTATAAGTGACCCCCATGAAAGGTCATACGGTTTTGCATCACCTTCTTCTCATCTTGGAAGCGAAGTCACATGTGGAAAATGGTGTAACAGAGACGTAAGAACTATCAAACATATTGCAAGATCTACGGGCCAAAAATAACGAACAAATCACAATGTTGAGTTTAACCTGAGCAGGACACTGCTCAATGGAACCCCTATAATTGGTCATTTCCTCATATCCCTGTGTCCCCTCAAGAACCACTTGGAGCATGACCAGATCCTAAGCGCCCACCACAACTGATATTGTAAAGGATGTATGCTGTTAAATATAGTCTAGACAGTGTATTGATGGTGTACAACAGCATAAAGACACCGTGCAGGGAAAGCAAAGGCGTTAAAAATCGATAGTTATTATGTATATAAATGTCCCAGTCGGGAAATGACATGGAGTTTGTGCTACACTACAGAACATCTGCGTTGGATCGGGAGACGTGGATCCATAGATACTGGCGGATGCTAACGTACTGTGATGATACGTATTGATATTTCTGTCCTTAAAACATAATTGATGTTGATCTTAAAGATCACCGAGTTTCGTTTCCTTTTCTTGAAGGCATGTGGATTTGTCCACAAATTTCCTATCAACATATTTACACATTGCATTTATTTGAGGCTGTTATAAACGATTCCTTAATGTACCGTTAGACTCAAAATGCATTTTTATTGTACATCTATTTACTTTTTGTTTGCCTCTGTTTTACAAATAGTATATGCATTAACACCATTTGGTACAGATACTTTATAAAACAGTTCCTGCATTAGGAACCTTGGGAGCATTATTTGTGCTTGCTACCAACTATGCTTGGTAGATAGTTCGTGCTATCCTTGACGGACGGATATAGCACAGCTAACAAGTTGGCATATTGCCCGTCACAGCTTGCTGAAAGTACAACGTTTGACACCGTGGATGTTGGTGGCATCATTGATCTTCAATGTAGACTTTCCCTTCCCAGCCACAGCATCTCCACACGAGGTAGTCGTCAGAGGCGGAACCCTTGCATCACAAACCGTTAATGTCATAGCGCTACTTGTTTGAAAAACAACAACGAGAAACCTTAAACCATTTGTCGGTGAGGAAAGCCCGGCTATAACATACCCATCCGAGAGATGCTCAATCAGAACTAAAAAAACATGTTGACTAGCTGCCCGCCA